CCTCGACGCTCACCCCCATCTCGACCTCGCCATCGACGGCGCCGACGAGGTCGACCCCAATCTCGATCTCGTCAAGGGACGCGGCGGTGCCCTCCTCCGCGAGAAGATGGTCGAGGCGGCCTCCGACAGGTTCGTGGTCGTGGTTGACGACTCGAAGCTGGTCTCGGGTCTGGGTGGGTCGGGCCTGGCCATGCCCGTCGAGGTCGTCCAGTTCTGCTGGAATTACAATCTGGTTCGATTGAAGGAGCTGTTTAAGGAAGAAGGTTGCGAGGCAAAATTGAGATTGGACGGGGATGGGAAACCCTACGTGACTGATAACTCGAATTACATCGTGGATCTGTATTTCAAGACGCCAATTAGGGATTCCGGCGCGGCCGGGAAGGAGATCGCCGCCCTGGAGGGGGTGGTGGAGCACGGGCTGTTCTTGGATATGGCGACTGCCGTGATTATCGCCGGTGGCAGTGGGGTGAGCGTGAAGACAAAGTGAAGCAGAAAGTGGTGAGAATTTTTGGGGAAAATGTCATTTTTTTTAACTACATTGTTTTGTTGTGCATTACTGTTCTTGTAACTTTGCTGCTGTTGAGAAAAATTTGAAAATGGCATAAAAAATGTTGTACTTATTCGATTGAGAGAAGGTGTAGATTGATGGGAGAATTTGTTATAGTATGATACAGTTGTGCTATTATTGTCTTTTGAATTTGATATTCTGCGTGCCACTAGTGTACATTCTTCAAACAAAGTGATTTACTAAGTATCGAGTTGAAGTTATTTTGACGAGGTAGGCGTTTGGTATGGAATAAATGGAAGTGCTTAATTTGAGTCTAGAAGTGGAACAAGAAATCTATTACACACTCTCTGGTTTTCTTGACGGGTAGTTTAACGTGCTGAGCTATCGGTGAAAGTTTCTCGACTTTTGCATAATCTTGAACGGGTGATCTAGAAATGGAAGTGGTATAGCTTTGTTAGTTTTTTTGTGCTTTTGGCCTTATGTTAGAGCTCTTGAATTCTAAATAGAGGCCATGACACTATCCAACCTTGTCATAGCAACGTGGTGGGGGGGAATGATGGTGATCAAACAAAACGATTAACTTTGTGTACGATGATACTTGTACTTGGAGCTATTGATTATAATTTTTGGAGCTATTGATTATTATTTTTCCTGTCTTTCCGTCTTTGATTCGTCCTTTTACTTGTTCTTGATGATTTCCGAGCATCCTCCAACTTGCATAGATCATCCATTTGAAATCTGACTCTGGTTGTGGTGCATGTGTGACAAAGATGAAGTGATGCAAATGCCAGTAGCCTGTTCTGCAATGTTGTTCTTTTGTTGGCGGTAAAAAATAAACCACCCATCGTGTTTATAATAGAACTGTACAGGGACAAGTTAAGAATTACAATCTGCAAATTCCGTTGGGATTTGATTTGAATTTGATAGCAGAATTGGCAACAAAAGGGAAGTCGAGACGAAATACCACATTATTCTCTCAAGTTTCGAAATCCCTTTACCTTCATTCATTGGCCACAAACTTACAGGTTGTATCATTGCAATCGAATCCTTAACTACATACTTCATCATATACAAAGGAAATAATCACCACGACAAGAGGAAAAAAGAAGAAATAACATGAGCAGCTTGTTAGCTTTTATCTAGAGACATGAGAGTATTCCAATTAGCAGGCTGAAATATAAGTATTACTGGGTCATACATTACATCTGCAGACATTAGCATTTGTATACTCGGGTCATTATACTTTGAAGTGGATCAAGCCCAGTACTGAAACTGTTTATACTAATTAAAATCATATGAAGAACAATGAGCTCAGGCAACGAATGCAAAAAAGGGGTAAAATTGCTCCTATTTTCTGAACAATGTATCAAAATTAAACATGGACAAAAACCCAGTTTCGATCTGAAACCGTCGGTTCAGGTTCGAAACTGTCTATATGAACCAGAATTAAGGGGCGGTTCAAAAACCTGTGGTTCACGGTTCAGAACTGGACCGCTGGTTTAGGGCCGAATTTGTAAATGAAAACAATTGAAAAGAATAAAAACTCAATTTTTAAATTCGGTAAACCGCCCGTTGGAGTTCCGAACCAAAACCAGCAGTTCAATTTGTGATAAAACATGAACTTGAACTGGCTCGGATAAATGCACGAGCCAGTTCTGCAGCAATGGGCTTGTCTGGACCGGTTCAACCCGTGGCCATGTCCATTGATTCAAAATGGTCAAAGATCTACCCTCTAACGGGCTCAAATTCTTTATGTGACGGGCCCATATAATGAATTCTCGAAGGTTTAAGTGAATCAAAAGCCATTAAATAATATTCCACACAAAATTTGGGCCTTTATCAGGGAAATATAGTATAGAATTTCCTCATTTTTTCAAATCTCTTTTTCGGCCTGCTAGCTCTGTATTTTTTTATTTTTTATTTTTTTTTTGTCTTGCAAATAACATAGGTCTCCTAAGGGACACAAAAGACTGCTTTTTGCGCACCAAAAAGGACTCATTGACATTGAATCGTGCATTGGGAAAATAAATTTCGTTGATCCTATAATTGAGGACGAAGTTTAGCTATAAGTTTTTTGTTTATCATTCACGTGAATTAGTTCATATCGGAATATTATAGTCGGGTCTACGTTATTGTTAAGATAATTTTTAAAATTTCGTTGCACGTGCGCTACGTTCGCATGTTTAAATTCCAACATATTTTCTCTTGGGATCGACAACAACGGAGCTATTCATATTATTAAGTTTCAATCCCCTTGGAATTTTAGCATGGTGATTAAATAAAGAGATAATTACCTCCTAGACGAACCAACATTATTTTAAGGACATAAAGACGACCCGAAGTTTTTAATTCCATAAAATTGTCCTTCGTTTTTCTGTTTTCCTTCAATGTCTCTTTTCCACACAGGAAAATGTCAAATTATCTTCTCCTAAATTAACTACCCAAATTAATTCCCCTTTATCTCTTTCTTTCCATAAATCTCTCGATCTGAGACAATACTCCGATCAGGACAGATTCACCATTTCCACTGCCTCCCTAACGGCTTATCGTTTCTCTATCCGAGCGATAATGATAATGAAGACGGCATTGTCATGGCCGCGGCGGCTAGCAGTCAGAGAGGGCAATCGAACGTGCATTTAGGGAGGACGAGAAGCAGTGTAACGCTCCTTTGACGGCAGAGAACGCCGTGCGAGTGGTGGAGGCCATGCGCGGTATCTCGTTCAGCGCCGTCGCACCCGACTAGGAGGCTCAGCTGTCGGACGACCAGTGGACCGAGCGGCTCCGGAGGTTGAGGAGGCCATCTGCCACCACCTCTACACCTGACGCTTCAAATTAATCAAAGCGTTATTAAAATTTTATTCCCTTGTTACCTCGTATGCCTACTGTTTAATAATGTCTGTACAATTGCACCTTTGTTCATTTCTCACTTGATTTAATTATCAATTGCAGTTAAACGAATGTGTTTTTTAATCAATTGCACTTCTTCTTTGGCTTGTGTGTTGATGTTAATAATATTTGGGAATTGATGATGAGATTGAGAACAGGACATTTATATGCTTCGAAGAACAAATTTGATAGATTGTAATTATAAACTATACATAAATTTAGAGTATGTATGATTGTATTCTTATATAATAAACTGAAAATAAACCATATATAAATTTACATGTTTGTGCGTATAAGAATATTAATTTGATGTTTATTGATTGTATATTTTTGTTTTATCTATGGTTTATCTTCCGTTTTTCTTTTGCATTTGATGTTTATCTTGAGTTGAATGTTTTTGTTATTGATTGTATATTTTTGTCTCATCTATGGTTTATATTAACTTTTTAATTTTTTATTTGATTTTTATGAATTAGTAAAAAATTAGATAATAAACATAAGATAAACTAAAAATTAATTTTTAATAAAGTATAGAGATAATGCAATAAATTTAAGATAAACTGAAAGTAATCTAAAAGAATTCACTTTATTAATAACTTTTTAACGTAAAATTTTATCATTTTTTAAAAATTAATTAAACGCATATTAGTGGGAAATTACAAGTATTCTAAAGTATTTTCTTACTAGTACAACACCCGTGTATTACACAGGTGCTTGATAAAAAAATTAATGAGAAAAATTATTTTAAATTTTATTTACTTTTGTGCAAAAAATACATATTATTGTATATTTTAGAATGACATTTGTTACTTGTGCGACTTACATGTGTTATATTATAGTCATTTTTATAACTTATATCATATAACTAATTGAAATATAAATATTGATTAAATAAATAATTTTATTTTTCTAACTAATATTTAAAAATAATTTTATTATTGTTATAAAAATAAATATAATTTATTTTCTTTATACATACAATATGTATGTTAAAATTGAAGCTCATATGATTTATTGTTATATTGTACATGTAAAATTGATAAGAAATACAAAAGTTATCAACTTTTAAAATACATTTACACTTCAATGGTTATAATAACGAAATAATATTAAAATAAAATTAATACATGTAACATGACCATAAATAATAATATATTTATGAATATTCGGACCTAATTATTTTTGGATTAAAAGTAAATTAAAATCTACCAAAGTCTTAATAACTAAGAATGTAATTTCGTCACGTAGGATCTCAAAGCATACGAGTCTGTCACTTAAGCTCAAAATGTTCTGAATCAATATATGCTAGTACAACACACGTGTATTACAAAGGTGCTTGCTAATTTTTTTCTTAAAATCTAAAACTAATGAGAAAAAGTAGTTGAAAATTTAAATACCTTTTACAAATATATATATATATAAATATATATATATATATACTATTATATATTTAGTATGACACTTTTTTTATTTGTGCGACTTACCTTTGTTATATTATAATAATTTTTTAACTTACAACATATAACTACATAAATATATCCATTGATAAATAATTTTATTTTTCTAATGAATTTTAATAAATATTATTATCTTTTATTATTATAAAGATAAATATAATTTATTTATTTCATATATATACAATATGGATGTCAAATCGAAGATCATCAAAAGATGATTAATTTGATATAAACATTTAAAATACATTTACAATTCAATAGTTAACTAGTACAACACCCGTGTATTACACGGGTGCTTGTTAAAAAATTATTTTTAAATTTTGAAATGATTGAGAAAACTATATTAAATTTAGTTTACTTTTTTCACAAAAAAAAATATATATTACTATATACTTTAGAATGATATGTGTTACTTATAACTTATATGTGTTATATTATATTAGTTGTTATAACTTATATCATATAACTACTTGAAATATAAATATATTAGTTGATAATTAATTTTATTTTTCTAATTAATATTAAAAATAATTTTATTATTTTTATAAAGATAAATATAAATTTTTTTTTATACATACAATATGGATGTTAAATCGAAGCTCATCAAAAGAAGATTAATTTGATATATTACATATG